GAACCCCAACAGCACCAAGGAACCCCAACAGCACCAGGGAACACCAATAATCACCAGAGAACCCAAATAATCACCAGGGAACCCCAACAGCACCAGGGAACCTCAACAATCACCCAGAAATCATGAACAAACCCAAAAAATCACCAGTGAACCCCAAAATTACCAGTGAACCCCAGAAATCATGAACAAACCCCAAAATCACTGGCGAACCCTCAAAATCTCCAGTGATCCCCAAAAATCATGAACAAACCCCCAGATCACCAGTGAACCCCCAAAATCACTGCTGTGCCCCAACAACCAGCACACATGTCAAATATCTACAATGCACCCCAAAAATCAGCACTGCTCCCCAATAACCAACATCGTGTCCCAAAAACCATCACCACACCCCAACAATCACCGTCGCCCACCGGATCACCCCAAAACCCCCAGAAATCAGCAGTGCACCCCACAGTTCCATTTCCCCCCCCGCAGCTCCCACCTTGTGGCGCTGGAGCTGCTCCAGCTGGTCCCGGTGGGCGTCGCGGGCGCTCCGCAGGGTCACCGTCACCGCGGCCGCCTCGGCCGCCGCCACCGCCCGGCGCCGGCACCGCAGCTCCTGTGCCCGCTCCTGCCGCGACACCCCCAGCTCGGCTGGGGGGACACCCCTGTCAGGGGGGACACCCCCACTCGAGGGAAAACCCCCCAGAAAAGCAGAGACACCTCCCAGGTCAGTGGGGACACCCTCAGTCAGTGGGGACACCCCATCCATTCAGGGGGGACACCCCTGTTCAGTGGGACACCATCCATCAGTGAGGACACCCCCAGGGGACACATTCCATCAGTGGGGACCACCCTTCTGATCAGCAGGGATCCCCCCAGTCAGTGGAGACCCCCCCACAAGAGGGGACACCCCCATCAGTGGGGACACTCCCAGTCAGTGGGAACAACCCCCCCGGCCTTATAGGGACCCTTCCCATAAGAGGGAACACCTCCCCAGTTAGTGGGGACACCCCCACCTGCAGAAACCCCCCCAGGGGACACCCCCCATCACCAGTGGAGACAGGTGGGGCTGAGGATGAAGATGGGGATGAGGAGGGGGATGTATGATGAAGAGGATGAAGGTGAAGAGGGGCATGGATGGGAATGGGGATGAGGACAGGGATGGATAGGAATGAGGATGAGGGTGGGGATGGATGCAGCCAGATGAGGATGAGGACGGGGATGAGGATGAAGTTCTGGATGGGTGGGGGCGAAGATGAAGGCTGGGATGAGGATAAAGATGAAGATACAAATGGATTGGGATGAGGATAAAGGGGGGTGGTAATGAGGATGGATGGGGATGAGGATGAAGATTGGGATGGGAATGGGGATGGATGGGGATGAATAGAGACAGCTGAGGATGAGGATGGGGATGGGGATGGACAGGGATGGTCAGTGGTGGGACAGCCCCATGGCTGGGCCCCCTCACCCTCCAGCGCCTCCTTGGCCTGGAGCAGCGTCCGGCCCTCGCTCTCCAGCTGCTGGTTCTGGGCCTGGAGTTGGGCCAGTTGTGCCTGTAGCTGGAACATGCTGCTCTCCAGCCCCTCCTTCTCCGACCTGGAATGCCGGGAACGCTGCCAGAACAGGCTGGGGGAGCTGCTCTGGCACCCACATCCCCACCCAGCACCCACCCGAGCCCAGAACCCTCCCATCCATCCCAGCACCCACCTGAGATTGGAACCTCCCTGCCCCACTGAGCCCAGAACCCTCCCATTAATCTCAGCACCCACCTGAACCTGGAACCTCCCATCCCACCTGAGCCCAGAACTTTCCCAATCCCAGCATCCACCTGAGCCCAGAACCTCCCTATCCATCCAGGCACCCACCTGAGACCAGAACCACCCCATCCCACCTGGGCCCAGCACTTTCCCAATCCTGGCACCCACCTGAATCCAAAACCACCCCATTCCGCTGAGCCAGGAACCCCCTCCACTCCAGCACCTGCCTGAGCCTGGAACTCCCCACCCATCCCAGTCCCACCTGAATTCAGAACTACCCCATCCCACCTGGACCCAGAAGTTCCCCCATCCCAGCACCCACCTGAGCTCAGACGCCTCCCATCCCATCCCATCCCATCCCATCCCATCCCATCCCACCTGAGCCCAGACCCTTCCCATCCCATGCCATCCCATCCCACCTGAGCCCCTGTGCCTCCCTGTGGCACTCCTGCCCGTGCCGCTGTGCCATGGCGAGCTGCACGGCCAGCCCGGCGCTGTCCTGGGCCAGCTCCGCGTGGCTCCGGCTCAGCCGCTCCTGCTCCGCCCGCAGCTGCTCCTGCTCCGCCCGTGCCCGTGCCAGCGCCTCGCCCGCCGTGCCCTGGGCCTGCAGAGCCTGTGCCGGGAACACCGGGATCATGGGGAGCAACCCAAGGGACCAAGGGAATTTCAGGATCACGGGGCGCAACGGGACCACAGGGAGCACCAGTGGGGACACCACAGGGACCATCAGTTACCCCCCATAGAGCATCAGTTACCACACAAGGACCACCAGTTACCCCTCATGGACAAGCAGTTACCACTCAGGGACCCCCAGCTGCACCCCAGGGTACACCAGTGACCCCTCACAGACCACCAGTTATCACACACACGGGATCACCAGTTCCCACGCAGGGATAACCAGCCCCACCTCATGGACCCCTCACCCCTCCCAGTCACCCCCACCGCTCC